GACCTGATGTAGGGCACCAAAGGGTCAACGTGGTGCAGGACAATTGCAGTGATGTAGGAAAACACAAACGATGCTGCTGACCACACCACCAGCGCCACGGGCAGGAACGAGAGGCCTTGCTGGAACCACCACATTTCAGGGCTGACTTCTGCCTCCAGACACTGTGAAGAACCAAATGCAAAGGTTTACTAAGAGTTCTCAAATATTTACTGAGATTTTCAAATTTACTGACTTCTCAAGGGTTTACTGAGAGTTCTCAAGGGTTTACTGAGATTTCCAAAAGTTAACGAGGATTTTACTACAAGGACTCCGAAGTTTTGCTTTCCTTGAGGCAGGCTGCTTCCCATTCAGCAGTTTGATGTTGCTCTCAGTCCTCTCCTGCAAACCCAAAGTGAACACTTCACAGAAGAAATCATAAATAAGTGATCAAGTGGATCAAGTGGATCCCTGTGAGTAAGTGACTCCATTTTCTTCAGCCTTATGTCATAATTTATTAATGTTTAGGATATAATGTGAAAATAAAAAACCAAACAACCATATTTTGGATGAAATAAAAACTGAAGTAATGTTTAGATATATTTATTCTATGCTGTAAAGTTAACTTTTGGAAGATATCACCTATAAAGGTTTGAGAAGATAAACCAAATTCTTTTGTGGAGAACAAATCAGAACTTTCCCATGGATTGTAATATCAATAATAACAATACTAATATTAACAGGGCAGGGGCACCTTTCACTAGGGCAGATTGCTGAGCTCCATCCAGCCTGGCTTCATGACCTCTCAGCTATCTGAGCTCACTGCTACCAACCTCAACCCTCAAACTCAAGGATTGCTCACAGGAGTTGCTGTTTTACAGGTGGGAGGAAAAGATCCACATGCAGTGCAGTGAAATGATGACTCTGTACTCACACTGGCCAGTTCCCTAAATCCCAGCCTGACAGCAAATCCGTGTCCCAGCCCTATTCCCTAAGAGCAAGAAGGGGCAGCTGTGTCACCCTGGTGAGCTCACACAGACAGAACTGGGACTCCTCCCTACTCTTGCTGCAAAAGTGAAGCTGCTACTAGCTTCAAACACAACAAGAGCTATTTCAGCATCCCAGAATGGGGGACGAGCAGGGGAAGGAGTTCTGGAAGTCACCTGGTCCATCCCTCTGCTCAAGCAGGGACACCAGAGCCAGTAGTGCAGGATGACACCCCAAGGATGGAAAGACCACAACCACAACCTTTCTGGGCACCAGGGATGACCAGTGCCAGTCACCTTCACAGGGAAAAATGGTTTTCTGATGGTCACTGGAGAGAAGAGGAGAAAAAGTGTTTCAACATAGTTAAAACTGGAGACTGTAAGTGGAAGATGAAAAAGGACATAGGTGAAAAGCAAATAATGGAGAGCACGCAGCCAAGGGCATCCAGGCAAAGATCTGTATGTGAGAAAAGCAAAATAATGTTGAAGCAAATTAAAAGGAACTACAACACTGATAGATTTTAGAAGGGCATGGCCTGGGGTGGAAAGGCTGGAGGAAAGGAGGAAGAGAAAAGGAAGAAAGCGGAAGGACCAAAGTCTCATGGCAAGAAAGAAGTCAGAACAAGTGGGTGAATCTTGCAGGAGATCAGAGCTCGTCAACCTTCACAACCCTTGCACAGAATGGACAACTACAGCCTTTTAGAGGTGAAGGTTCAGCTGCTTGTGAGAAATCTGATTGGTGGCAGGTAAAGGTGTTTAACAGGATATGTAGTGAATAAGAACAGACTGACAGAATTCAAGTGGCCTGATTTCTTGCCTGTTTTTAAGCTAAATATAAAGTTTGCCATCCAATCATGATTTTAAGACTGCAATGCAGTAATGACTGTAACTTCACAATCTCATCTCCAATATGAGTAAATTTGGAATTTGAAAGAGAAATGCAGATTTTGCATTACTTTCTCTGTTGTAAATGTTCTGTGCCTGGGTATGTAATTCCCAGCTCCAAGCAGTCAGTCTGAATATACTTTTCCTTTCACATTTAAATATTCATAGTGCCTTAATTTTATTTCTGAGCTAACAGATTTTCCCCTGAAAACCAACCAACCAACCACATTCCACATACCTGAGAAAAAGGGCATCAGAGGACATGTCACTTAAGGGGAATCCAAGGTCATTTTTCTGCCGAAGTTCCACATTTGCTTCATTTTTCTGACTCTCTGAGATATAAAGGAAAATAAACAAGATGTAAGGTACTTCTGTACCTCTTGCCTTGTTTGTTCTTAGCACCTTCTGATAGTCACTGCTGCTGACTGGACACAAGATTAGACTGTTGGCTTGCCCCATGATGTTTTTCCTGCATTCTAAGAGGTTTAAGGAGTGAAGCTTGTGGTGGGGAGGTAGAAATGAAGAAAAACTGGTGTTTAAGGCTCTTTGATTTTAGGAGTTGTATACACAACCATTTAACTTGAACTGAAGAGCTTTTCAAGAGATGAAGTGAATGCAACTAAAGCCAGAGCCTAAGACCATGACTTTCACCTAAGAAAAGGAACAGAACATTTCCCATTTTATTGTGGACACAAATCCCAATGTCCTGCTGGTGCAATGCTAAATACATAGCTGGAGAGGGGCTGGAGCAACCTGAGTATCACTAGATCATTTAAGTTTGAAATGCCCTCAAACATCATCAAGTCCACCTGTTCATCTGGCACTGCCAAGGCCACCACTAAACCACATCCCAGGTGCTATATCCACGGCTTTTAAATCCCTCCAGGGATGGTGACTCCACCTCTGCCCTGGACAGCCTGTGCCAGTGCTGGACAACCCTTTTTGGGAAGAAATTTTTCCCAATATCCAACCTGAACTTCCCCTGGTGCAGCTTGATGCCATTTCCTGCTGTCCTGTCCCTGTTCCCTGGCAGCAGAGCACAACCCCATCCTGGCTGTCCCCTCCTGGCAGGGAGTTGTGCAGAGCCAGAAGGTTCCCCTGAGCCTCCTTTTCTCCAGGCTGAGCCCCCCAGATGCTCCCTCAGCAACTCCTGGTGCTCCAGCCCCATTCCCAGCTCCATTCCCTTCCCTGGACACACCCCAGCCCCTCAGTGTCCCTCTGGTCAGGAGGGGCCCAGAGCTGTCCCCAGGACTGGAGGTGCCCCAGCAGTGCCAGCACAGGGCACCACGCTGGGCCTTCTGGACACACCATGGCTGCAACAGCCCAGGTGCCACTGGCCGATCTGCCCACCTGGACTCATGTCCAGCCACTGTTACCAGCACTCCCAGATCCTTTCCCAGCTTTCCAGCCACTCCTTCTCCAGCGTGGAGCATTCCATGGGACTGTTGTGACCCGAGGACAGAACCTGGCATTGGTCTTGTTGACTCTCCCACTGTTGGCCTCAGCCATGGATCCAGCCCATCCATTTAACCAGACATTCCGTAAGTCCTGACTTCTCACACAGGTTTAAGGCACTGCCTAGGGGATGGAGAGGGGCTGAAGCTCTGTGGGAGATAAAGCTCACGGACAATGCAGATTCTTTACCTGCTGAGGGTATTTACGTGCCTGTGCAGACTGATATACCTGGGCTCAGTAAAGCAGAACAGCTATTCCCAACTTCTCCCTGTAAATTGCCCTTACAACTGTCCTTTGTGTTTACAAAATAAACCTGTCCACACAGGCAGCTCATCAGCACTGTCTGCTCCAAAGCAAGCTGGGCTGCAGAGGAGCTCTCACTTTGTTAGGACAGAGAATCTCTGTATCCTGAGCTGTCACCAAGCCCAGAGCTGAGCCCTGCACATGACTTATCATGATTTTCATGTGGTCTGGCACAAAAAGCACCTTCAGTCACACCCCAGAGCACTACTGAGGCATAGCTTCTTATTGGAAGTGTAGCTGCAGGCTGGCGGAATCATGGAATCTCCTGAGCTGGAAGAGACCTACAAGGATCGTCCAGTCCAACCTCTGGCCCTGCACAGACACCCCAACAATCCCACCCTGTTCATCCCTGAGAGCCTTGTCCAAACACTCCTGGAGCTCTGGCAGCCTCGGGGCTGTGCCCATTCCCTGGGGAGCCTGGGCAGTGCCAGCACCCTCAGGGGGAAGAACCTTTCCCTGATCTCCAGCCTGAGCCTGCCCTGGCACAGCTCCAACCATTCCCTTGGGTCCTTTACCTGGTCACAGAGAACAGATCAGAGCTGTCCCTCAGGAGGAATCTGCAGGCCTTCAGGAGGTTCATCCTGACAGCACCAGTTGGGGTCTGCCCCTCTTGCCTTCCTTAGCAGAAACCCCTCACTAACTCTCCTTACTCTAAAACAAAATTTGTAAATTTTTCCTCCTTTAAATTCTCTTACGTCAGTCAAGATCTACCCTGAGTTCTTATCTCCCTCCATCTCCCTCCTCATTAAATATTTCACAGTGGAATCAAGTCAGTTTTTCCCACTATTCTGGGGGCAGACTGTACATTCCCAACACAGGCTTCATGCTGGGCAAATCCCTGGGCACAGTCAGGGCATGGTGTACTCCAGGCTGTCCCAGCTTCCAGTTGTGCACCTGCCCTGTGCCCCTGCCAACTCCCAGACTCTGTCTAGGCACAGAACGAGGCAGAAAGGAATTGCCATGTGCCAGCTGCAAAGTCCTGAGGTAAGTTATTATTAACACCTCATCCTATCCTATTGTTTTCAACAGGGAGAAGGAAAACACACTCAAATTCGTTTTTTCATAAGCTCCTTTGCAAGCTAATACAACAGCAATGGCCAGCTTCAATTTTCCACATAACTATGATTTTCTTAAACATTTATCCTGATCTTCAGGCACTTTGGAGTTCTAAGGGTCTTTATTTTAAGCTCCAGTTTGAGTATCACAGATTCTTTCCAATATCAAGAGCAAGTGAAGGAAGTGTTTCAAAAGCAAAGGAGATTTTAACCCCCTCAGAAGTGTTTCTCCCAGTGCAAGAATGCAGCCAACACCCTGCCTAGGATGGAGCATGTGGAATAGAAACTCCAAAGGAAGATGAAAGATGGGAAAGACCATCAAGGGCAGAAAGCTCATGTTAGCTGGAATGATAAAGCTGCAAAGATGGTTGAATTACGTGGGGAAAAGGGAAATTCCTGAATTACTGCTGATCCTGGATTGTAAACCTCAGACAGACAGGCTGAGATAAAGCCCTACCAAGGGACACTTTTTCTCTCCAGCAAATTGACAGTGCTGAGGGAAGGACAGAGGAATTTGTTTGTTCCTGCCTAAACAAACAGAGGCTGGATGGGCTGAGCCCAAACAGCCTGCACAGCTACCTGTCAGGTCCCACTGATAAGCCACAGGTAAAGGTCACTGATCCTCAAAGCACTGATATAAGGAAGTAGGAGATGTGTCACCCCTGCTGTCCCTGCTACACGCTGGTGTTTTGAGTGTTTTCTCAGTACAGACACCAAAAACGTGCCATGACATCTTTCAGTCTTGGGGGCAGCTTCCAAGGGGTCTCCATGTTCTGGCCTTGCTCCTGTTCCCTGGCTCGAAAGGCACAACATGGCCTGGAGCCAACCCAAACAGTGCCAGGCCCAGGACACTGTGACACAGGATGTCCCCAAGCCTGCTTGGGACACCTGGCACACTCTGACAGTGGCCAAGTGCTCCAGCTGATCCAGGGGCTGTGTCAGAGGCACTGACAAATCCCACCTGCCTGACCACAGAATCAGCTAAAAACACCTGAGTCCTCAGAGCAGAGCCACCGGGAGATTCCCACAGGACAGCTGGGACTGGAATCGCTGCAAGGTCACAGGCGCAGTGCGGGTGCTGGGGGCGATCAGAGAGGAAAGGTAAAAGGAACCAGGATGGAGGAAGGTTTAGGAGAGGAGGGAAAGGGAATGAAGGGGAGAAAGGGGAGGCTGAGGACAGAGAGATGAAGGTGCAGAGGGGCTCAGTGGGGTCCTCGGAGCAGAGGAGTTACCGGAAGTGATGGTGGTCACTGGGGATGTGGTGGTGGTCACTGGGCAGCAGGGACAGTGATGGTGGTCACTGGGGATGTGGTGGTGGTCACTGGGCAGCAGGGACAGTGACGGTGGTCACTGGGCAGCAGGGACAGTGATGGTGGTCACTGGGATGTGGTGGTGGTCACTGGGCAGCAGGGACAGTGACGGTGGTCACTGGGGCTGGCGCAGGGCACAAAGGGGATAAGGAGGATTTGTCAGGAGAGGGAGGGAGGACACCTGAGGTTCCTGGGGTTCCGAAGGGCAGTGGAGACTGCAGGGCAGCCGGAGGGGGCTGCAGTGGGGTGGGGGGCACGGAGTAGGGTGGGGGTGATATGGAGGAGGTGAGAGGACACCGGGGGATCCCTAAGGGGGTGATGA